CTTTCCGGTATCTTTCCGCTTATCTGCTACGGACGTATCTCCTAGCCGCGAGTACGAACGTAAGAAAAATCGCTGTACTTAGTGACATCTTAAGCGATTACTCGGCAAATATAGTGCCGGGCGAATTACCCACCCGCGTTGTTATGAATTAAACCTGAAATTCTGGCAGCTATTTAATCGTATGCGAACATACATTTATGTTTAAACTGAACTGTATTAAGAAAAGTATGCAATTTAATTTGTCCGTTTAAACGTGCCGGAAAAGACATCAGTTTTTATAATAGTTGATATATTGTCTTTATAAAGAAAAAAGAAGATAAAATCAATTCCCTTGAAACACAGTCATGAAATTAGCAATCTGCATCTAACTACAGGCTGGATGCGATTAGACGTTGCGTTAAAGGAATCTGCCATCAAAGAGTATTAGTCAATCGCGCTTCCTGTATAAGCAAGCGGAGATTACCCAGTCAATGTGTAGTTCATACACTTCATACCAGCTAACGAGCTGACCGCAGGACACCCACGGTTGATCCACATGCCGACCTCGCCGACGTTCGGACTCTGATCTTGCATTTGTGGCCAATCAGCAGCTTTGATATCAAAGGACCTGAAGCCGGTAGAATGGCAACGTGAACGTTCGCAAGACGCGTAATACCAATATAATTATCTAAGATCTTGACCGTAATTGCTCGCGTTTCTTGTATCTCCGCTTCCGCAGTCACATATAATTCCCCTTGACGTAACTATCGCAAATTATCAAAATCATGTCAATGAAATATGCCCGGGATACGTTCGATGCGGCGCGTCGTGTAGCTTAAGCTCCGTATAATGTAATAATTTGAAGCTCTACGTGGACACGCGCGCGTCGCGTATTAAAAAATTTCGTAATAAAAATAATAATCGTGATAATACTCACAACAGGAATTTATAGTAATTCAAGTTGTATGCCGCACAACAATGCGTTTCCACGTAGGAAAGAGCGTATGGCTTGTCAGCGGAATGCATTTAACTCTGACACGCACGGCGCTTTAAACTCATCAGCTTTTACATGGAATTTCAAATGACTCGCAGGAGGTTTCAAACGAAAAACGCAAGTCAGTTGGTCAATCCATTAGAAGCATTTCGTTCGCAGAGTTGCTGCGTAATGCCAGCGATTCGACTGACTTGCATTACACATGCATTGCCTCAGGAAGCATATGCCGCCGACTTATGACATTCCTTCTCTTTCCTTTACTGAAATCCATCGCTCACGGTTTTAAAATGCAGGATTCTATTGCTATAATGCGGGATCCTATTACACGAACGGGAAGGAAACGCGAATAAATAATTTCTTACGTGTCAAAAAGAAAAAAGAAAGAAAAATACTTAATTAAATAATTTCATTACAGCGAAGAGATGGCAAACAGAAAGTGGCGGGTTTGCACATACGCGACAAAAACTATTAGCTACCCTTTTACATTGTATTTCTATTTTTTAGTAACTGTGGGCTCACGGGAGTACACTTTTCGGGAAACGCGTTTTTTGCCACATCCCTTTGTTGTCGCCTGTGTACCGACACTCAGTTTACGCGGATCCCAAGTGCCGCTGAACGGGTGCGGGATCGGGATGTTGCGTTGTTTGACGACTGCAGAATCTGAAGCGCGCGCGCACGCTCGCGCGAGTCGTAACTACGGCGTTCCCGTTTAAAATTGCCCGATAATGGCCGCTGTGGTTTCGGATTGACGGCCGGCTCTTTTGTACCTATGCTCATGCAAACACGCTTTCATTCGTTCTCGCCCGATCCCTGTCATCGGGTTGTCCATCCAACCTTCCCCCC